TGCTTGAGTTGCGGGCAAGCCGGGGATAATTGATGAGGATATGCTGGTCTTTGCAACTTCCGATTGACCCATCAAGTCAAGTGGCACATTCTGAAACGGGCACACTTTCTGAGAAGATCTGAGCCTCAGACGAGGGATATGGCACGCCGCACACCACACGACGGATACTGCTACACAGCTGCTTACACTAATGCTGCGTAAGGAATTCGTCAAGGTTGGGTTGGGGTCGATGGTGGTTGAGAGGGAGATGCATGCCGCACAAGAGAGACAACCCAGACTGCGGCCGAGATGGGACAAGCAGAGATGAACGGTTGACTTGTCGTGCTGGGCCACGGACACGCAAAGGCCGTCAACAGGAGTGAGTGAGTATCCGTAGCAGCGGCGGTCTCTGTCTCTCCATGGTTGAGGGGAAACATCCTTGTTCGCACCTGGCCATTGTAAGAGGTTGGCGTCGCAACCCCGTACGAAAACGAGGCCACGGAGAGATGGCAAGTGACCGGACCAGCCAACGCAAGATCTGGTATTGGTATGCTGGATCGAGGCATAGAGACATTGGCGTCCCGATTCAGGCAGTTCTCATGTAATGTGATGATGATGATGGACAGAACTTGGAAGCGAGTCGGCGTCGGAGGAACAACCGAGGTGCCTTGCCTTACTGAAATGAATGGATTAAGGTAGGTTGGGGATGAAGTTGGGCCTTGGAAGAGGAGGGCATGAGGTGCCTGCCTGTCTGGACAAGCGAACCAGATTCACCAGCAACCTGGGCAAGGCAGGAACTCGATGGCAGGCAAGGAAGGAGGCAGAGGAGGAGGATGAGGTTACGTTCAGAAGCACCTACCTCAGCAACGTGGACATGGCACGCCGCACGATTCAAGAAGCGCCGGCAGGAGGAAGGCGACACGCAAAGAGCCAGGAACAAGATACCTCACGAGGGAGGCAGGAGCGTCGCAACGTGGTGGCTTGATCTAGCATCTACCAATCTGCCCATGTAAGCGGGGGAAAGAGCTTCTCTCCGCATTCACCTTGCGTGCTTGCCTACCAACCTTTTCGACTTTCTTGTTCTATTGCTCCAAGTCCATAAGATACTTTGCTTTACTTGTTCCGACGCGGCTTCCTCAAAGTAATACCTACCTTACTGTAATATCAGTGACTGAAAATTGAAAAGGCAAAATCCATTATGGCGGCATGGCTGCGTGGCCACTCAGAATGGCGGAGGTACATATCCGGCACTTGGGCCTTGTTTTTCGCACCCTTCAAGTAACAAGGCCCCATCTAGAACACCAGCCGGCATATACCTCACCTCAGATAACGACGCAGATGGCCTAGCTCGCGCCTTCACAGCTTGTGTGCTTGTCTACTGGACAATATTATGACACGGCCACGAGCGATCACCACCTCTGTTGCTGCCAGCTGGACCGCCACCGCGTGACAAGACGTCCTTCCGGGTCCCTAGCGGGCGGGAATCCACGAGAGACAGCTTTGGAGCCTGAGCGATGGGCTTCCCGCTAAAACAAGTCAAAGACGCCGTTCAGAGCGAGTCTGACGCCCCCAAATTCCCCATCCAAGCGGATCAAGACCTTGAGATTGGGACTCTGGGAGATTGAGAACCTTGGACCTCATGGCGTGCGAAGCGTGCGAAGCGGGCAAGCGGGGTCGACCCGGTTCTGGGATCCCGAGCTGCTTGACGACGCCAAAGACGGGCAAGTGCAAGCCACCATGCAATTCAAGTGCTAGTTTACTGCCTTCTATCGTCTCAGATGTACAGCTCATCAGCAACCACCAAGCTGGACTGGACTGAAATGACGATGACAACCAAGAGATGCCAACTCCGAAGAATCAGGGTCTCTGCGGCAATGGCTAAAGCTTTCTGTGCCGACTACCTACCTTCCTCCATTCTCTCCATCGACGAAGACAACGACAACAACCTTGGCAGCTTGGGTACGGAGTACATCACGGATATACGGATAGTGATCGGTGAACCAGACAGAACCCCGATCCAGGCGTCACTTCGTCGATTAAACTCCAATCAACTCTGCCGGATGCATCATCCACATGCGTCCGAGCCACAAGTGCCACACTCCCCTCGTGCCGTGTTGGTTCTCCGTTTCTCTCTCTCTCACCCTGTCATCTCTCTCTGTTCACTTACACTGACACTCCCTCCAGCTGAGCTTTTGCTTCCTGAGTTACCTACCCGCCCTAGCGCATCAAAGACATGGAATGACGCCTTGCCAGTCTCCTCGCATCATCCTCACCTCATATCCCATCTGCACTCTGCCCGTCTACCCGTCCGCCTGCTGCATCTCGGACGCTCCTAATCAAACTCCACCCTGGCCTCGCTTGGTCAACCCGACTGTGTCAGATCATTCCAGTAGACCATTACTACAGCTTTTGTCCGGAGCGGAGGGGCTAGAGAGGGGCAAAGAGTGTCCGTAATCCGTATTTGCCAATACTGCGTCTGCGCACAGCCAGCGGCGCAGAAGCCTTTCAGCAGCCACACAAAGACAGTTTCTCAATGGACCGGACTGGACGGACGGCCGTGGCTGACCCCAGATAACAGGTACGGAATACGGATACCTGCCTGCTGCAGTTGCAGTCTGCGAGACGCCGGACTGGTAAACGTTTTGCTGGTTGCACAAAACACCATTCAAAGATTGGGGGCTTGTGGATAGAGGCTGGACGCCCGGCGTGGAGTTTTTTCAACCGCAGGACAAGGGCAATCTTTAGTCTCGTCTCCGCCAAGGTTGTAATACCCAGGCCCCGGCCAGACCGCAAAATGGCATCAATCAGACGAAATACCATACCTAATCATCATCCATCCCGTCTGGATGTCCATTCACCATGGACCATCCACCATGTTGAACCGGGCCGCGCCCACAACAAGAACTGTCGCCGGTACACGGTACCTTTAGACTTGTTCTGCTGGTCTTGTCCTCACCTTAACCTTCACCTTACCTCAGCCATCTAACATCACCAATCACCGTCTCGTCCTTTTGGTCTCTTGTGTCTCGCCTCCGCCTTTGCTGGGTCCTCGATGCAACTTGATGCCGCTACACCCTTGCGGATAGCCGTCCGACACCACTTGGCACTCTCCCTCCCTACCCTACCTACCACACCAACGCACCTCTTCATCCACGTTCCGCCGGCCAAGACGCATGCCACTACAGCCCTGCATGGGCCAACAACGAGCCAGTCTTGGAACTTGGAACAGCCCTGCCCATTCGCTGCCGCAGGCGGTACTCTACCCTTTTCCGCCGTGCCCCAACCCACCTTGCGCGTCTCAAACCATGTACGTCGTCACCGTCAGTTCCACCTCCTGGTTTCCTGTCGGTGTCCATGTCCATCTCTCAGATGCCATCTGAGGCCCATTCCTGCTGCACTCGCACCGGCCCTTGACCGTCGCTGTCCGTCCAATACTCCCCATACAGAGACACCTGTTCCCGCATACGAATGCCTGCCGCTGCTGTATAATCCTGCACAACTCGCCACTGACCCCGGCAACTGACTCTGTTAACAGACCAGGCATTCCCTTATGTGGAGTTGGCAAAATCGATAGACGCTTCGCTCGGTCTGGTCCGGTGGTAAATGCTCAGACCCATGCCACCTCTTCTTTAATTGCGCCTATCCCACCTTCTACCACCGCCTTTCTCTCTTCGTGCTGGTCTCCGGCGGTGATCAACTAGACTCCTCGAGCCTCCCTCCCCCTTTCCTTCTTCGTTTCACCGGTTGCGTCTGTCCCCATTGTCGCCTCAGAGTCTTGCTGCTTGGAACGGAGTATCAATCAGGGCGCAGCTCCTAAAGGGTCGACAAATATCAGACCATCTACCCAATTCTCAATACCGCAGAGAGCACTCGAGCGTCACGCAACCTACACCCCAATACCCACGAAGTAACGTCGATAATTCCAGAATAATTCGCGCGGCATGGCAGTTTTAACAGTGCCATCGTAACCAAATTTCTATCGGCTGGCCGTTTTCGAGCACTGCCATCCGTAACCCGTACCACCTCGAGGCGATTTCCTCTACGTTTACCAGATTGCAGACTTTTGTCATTTGGTTGAGTACAAGGGAACCATTTCGGAATTTCACCTTCTTAACATCAAGATGGGCAATGCACAGTCTACCGAGACGCCTCATGATTCACATGTGCAAGGTGTAAGCAGCAGCAAAAAGTCACCTCACAAATTATCAAAACCTAGAGTCGGCAATCATGCCTCTCCAACAACCCAATTACCGGCCCCCAGCCAACTAAGCATACAACGTGCTGCATCCGCCAGTCTGCCACCCTCTCGATCGAACTCGCGAATTCTGCCTGGGCAAACTTCGCCTGTACCGTCACCTATTTCTGCACCCGCCGGATCTCAGCTTGGTGCAGTCGCCCGAGCACCCAGTATATCTTCTATGGCGGACCCAGAAGTGAAACCCGCGAGGGATTGGAAGCGCAGGGCAAGCTTGTTCAGGTCTAAGAGCTCTCAAGAGCCGAGGAAGCAGAAACGTAGGGAAAGCATGGTGCTGAGCCCGCCTGTTCCAGACAGAATGTCGAGGGCAAATTCAATGACCTGGGAGAGTCAGCAGGAGATGGACAATTCCAGGCAGTTGCAAGTCGAGAGGTATGGTCAATTCCCCAGCATTTCTTCTTTACCATTGACTAACGGCGGCTCTAGCTGGCATGTTCCCGGAAATCGCCAGTCCATCAACTACAATCTCATGTCATACGAATCGAGAAGGCTCCTGAACCTCAACGAAGATCTCACCGCCTGCGAAGAGAACTCCATGGTGTCTGAAAGCAAGTTCGAGGTGTCACCGAATACTTGGAAAAGTTCGCATCCACACCAGCCAGTCCTTGCACAATCAGCCAGCACACAGCTGCCTCTGCCCCGAGCCAACTCAGACCTAGCACTGTACGCACCCGTACGGCGACGTTCTATGATCCAAACTCCAGGTCTTGCGACCCGAATGCCGTCAGAATATGCTTCATCTAGACGGTCAAGCGTGCGACACAGCATGCCTACAACACCAGCAGGAGGGCGTTCGCGAATGAACTCATTATCGATTGACTCGAGCGCATATCCGATTCCGACGTTGGAAGAGTACGTCGCTGAGCGATTCGCCTCGGAGCCCGAGTATCTGTGTGAACCAGTGGTTGAACCAGTCGAAAGAGCACTGACTCCTTCTGATATGGATTATCGGCCGCTCGGTTCCATGAAATTTGGCTCGCTGCGGATCACGAATGGAGAGGCCAGCCCGCTTCCAAGTCCGGATTTTGAGCCAGCAGTTCAGGTCAGCATAGCGGAAAAGTCGCAAATGGTTGCTGTTGAGGAGTATTTCAGTCACGAGAATGGATCGGGCGGGACGGGCTTTGAGAACAAGGACATCGAAATCACGGTCTCAGCAGTGCAAGCCAGTGCTACTTCGCAGACACTCAGTCCGATCAAGAGTTCGGTTTTAAAGGTGGAATCGCAGAGGCGGCGGTCAACTTCGTTAGTAGTCTCCCTTGCCAATTCGTGCAGACGGCGCCATGTTGTATAAGGCACCATGAGACGGCTCACGCTGACTCAAATATAGGCCACTCAGTCCAGAGTTGAAAATATCATCCAAGCACACAGCCATGGAAGACGACCTTTTTGCGGAAGAAGATGAAGATGTGCAAATGGAGTATTCTGCCGAGGTTCTGACAGTCAGAAATGACCCGAATGCAAAACCAAGTCTCGAGCGACTGAAAGCGGATCAGTCTCAGAAACATTCCCGAGCAATTGCTCGCGCCGACAGTGGAGTCGTTGCTAGCCCGACCACCGAGCACCAGCCCAAACCGCTCTCCAAGGCCGATTCCGGCTACAGTTCCAATGTCTCGCTGAGGTCGTTCCACGCCAAGCAACCTTCTGCAGGCAGCCGTCCAGCTGGCCGTGCCGCATCGGAGGATTCGGGCGATGAACTGTCAGACTCAGCCGCATCCCCAATTGTAGCTGTCAGCGGCGACAAGCTGCAAGTCAGTGTTCTTAAGGCTGACATCCGCTCTGTCGATCCTTCACAATCTGGCCCATCCATTCCTCCGTCTCTACCCCCGAAAGACGATTTTCTTGTCTCTCCAACTAACAACACAATGACGGTCACGTCACCCAAGTTCTTCTTCAACCTCAGCGCCGGTCATTCCTTCCGCAAGGATCGAAAATCTCCGGCCCCAGTGTTGATTGACAGCACTCAATCGGCCGAACAAGGCCCCGCTTCTCCGGCAGACGTTCGTTCTCCCGGCGCTGCTTCCGAAAAGCCAAATTCCTCCTTGAGCATTGGCAACGGCTTGCAAAAACCTGGCAAGCTGCACAGGCTTCTCAGCGGCTCTGGAATGCGAGGCCCCCCAACCGTCCACGCAACGCATCCTTCTGACGAAGAGATTCCCTCGGTACCCCAGGATATTCAGTCAAAGCTTGAGGAGCACTCTGGTCGGTTTCCCATCACAACCAAGCGATTGACCCTTCGTGCGCAGGCCAGCAAAGAGACTCTCAAGACCATTTTCAGCGTGGGAAGCTTCGATGCCGGCCATGCCGACGACAAGCGCAGCTCTGCGCTCCTGGTCGATGCGCCTAAGGTCGTGAGTGAGGCGATAGCAGAGACGCCTGGACCCTCTGAGAAGCCCAAGTCACCCTACCGCCGTTCTTTCCAGACCATGCCAGCCTCGTTCGCTCAAGCTGCCGCTTCTGTCATGCCGCGCCGCTCTATCCACCGCAAGCCAGTGCCTTCTGGCGCCGTTAGCAAGGCCGAACTTTTCGGCGAAGCCAGAGCCGAGGAGATCCAGGACGGCTTCGAGTCGAGCATCACGGCCATCGACAAGGTCGGCGAGAGCGTCGGTAAGAGTGCTTTCGACCAAGCTTTCATGGCGCTCCCTCGTGAGCAGCCTGTTCAGGCCCAACACAGTCGTACTCTGACAATGCCGGCACATATGGAACTTGAGATTGGGCTACAATTTCGTCCCACCGAGCCTCTGCCTCCGACAGGCCGCCAGTCCCAATTTGCGTCTCAGAACCTGCAGGTTCCCGAGATGGCAATGAAGAGGAAGACTTCTCCGCCTGTCAGTCTGCACACCCGCAGTAGCACCAAGAGTCCCCGAAAGCCAGTACCTATTCGTCCGCAGTCGTCCTCATCCAGCGAGGCGACTCGAAGACAGACCCTGTCGAGGCAGAACAGTCGCGAGACCATTCACAGCTACCCATCGGCGTTGATGGGAGCATCACTCGACGACGCTATTGCTGTGCCGCCCATTCCGCCAACGAGCCCTCGCAGGGGCATGACGATGCTTGAGCAGCAATACGCCAGGCGCCGCTCAACGATTGAAGACAAGTGGCGCCCTACCAATGGTTCCTCCCCTCTCTTTGGCCACCCAGTCACACGCAGTGCCTCCACCAACCCTATGGGACATCAGCACCAGCACCAGCAGCAGCGACAGCTTCGTCATCGATCAAGCTACGACAGTTACTCACAGTACCGGGAACCTGTTGCACGCGGACATTCAACCACCAACCAAAGCCCGAGCCAAAGTGGCAGCTACTATCAGCAGCAACTCTTGAATATCCAACAGCAGCAATGGGAACAGCAGCAGTACTACTCACCCGACGCTGTTCAGCCAGGCCTTTCCAGAAGCCGCAGCCGGAGTCGTAGTGTTCACGCGAACGGCGACCAGCCCTACAGAGTCCTCCACAGCTACAACTCGCCGGCGTACCGCAACGCCCCAATCTGGGGTTGAGTCTTTTTGATTGCGTACCAAGTGTAGCAGCTGACCCATCATTTCACTTCTCGAGGTGGCCAGTTCCATCACATACCGTTGCTCTTTTTGAGCGTCCGATATGACATCAACCGATTCTCGACGACTTGCGCAAGCTGGCGCTGGTTTTGTTTACAAAGTTCTCTATGTACAGTCTTGCAGCATACGCATTCGACGATCAGGCTAGCGAAACCGATCGTCCCGGCATGAACCTCGCGATTAACGGATTTCACAAAAGGCGAATTATTTCGGCCGTTTTTCTTTTTGACACGAACAAACACACAACCTTGGATATACCCAGTGGTTAAAAAACAACACGGCCTGATGAAACACGGATAAACTGGCCAATGACTTTTCTTATACCCGATATCGAAACAAGTAGGAGGAGTTTTTTTTCTTTCTCAAAGCTTTGTTGATTCCCCAATTTTTGGATTTGGAACGGGCGGTAACACAGTATACGTCATTCTTGGGGAAACGTCTGCTTGAAACTTGGTTTTCGAATTTGTGCAGACGGAGTTTGGAATACCCACTTGAAATTGTCCATGATTGGGAATCATTTGGGGAAAGCTGTAGTTCTGGTACACAGCTGAATAGGTTAGGACCATCGGGAACAGGAATGATACACCAGATTCATAGGTTTTTGTTGCATGGGTTAGGGATAGCAAGCAGAATCTATCCGACCAATCTCGATGAATACGAACATGTTTGTTTCGACATCCAACCCACCGCTCCGTGATATTGAGTTTCTTTGGTGCAGGTCGACCACACATGATGTCCATGACACCGCCACTGAGGTGAGCGGAAGAAGTGTGAAAGGCATCTTCCACGTAAGAAGGGCGTCACCAACAGCGGTCGACCAAATGACAGTGGCATACTTGGAACATGAGATTTTGAAATGTTTCGCAGCGTATTTTTGTGATGCATGTAATCCTCCATTCTCTGTCAACGGCAGCTTTAGGGCAGATTGAAGGTGAGTCGTCAAACGTTGGACACCCTTCCTGCCACGCGTGCCTCACCGAGAGCTAACGCCACACTTTCACCGAGGAACGGCCCGCACGGATCAAGGGGAACACGAAAAACGTGGGGGTCGGCACACTGGGCACATTGGCTGCGGGAGATAGTGGGGACAGGTCGATGTACCGGGAAGAGAGGCAGAAGTATATTCCCATGACTGTTGGAGATGGCATCTTCCAAACAGACAAGCTCGCTTCTCTTTTTTTCACGAGTATGACAAGGTAGTAAAGTATATATTCGACGAATGCATCGATTTAACTCGATTGATTGACTTTAACTTCAAGCTGTTTGGTGATCATCCTCCATCCGGTGGCCTAGAAGTCTCTGAGCTGAGACAACTCTGGACATTCGACGTTGTACCTAACTTCCCTCATGTGTACTTGTTCAACAGGGATGGTACAAGGCTTCTCCACTATCTATATCCTCCCCTTAACGCATCGCGTCTTGGTGCAATTAAGTTAATGGGATGAAGATTGATTCCTGGAGCCCTTTCTATGTGACCAATCCTTTGCCATACCAAACGCCGTGATGGATTCCCAAGCTCCCACAGATGACACAGTCCCTGAGACTGAGGAGGAGCCCTGGGCGAGTGAAGCTCTCGCAGATCAGACGGCCACCACTAAGCCCGACACCAACAACAACGAGGTCACGGCCGGACCCAGTGGAGCCAGGGACGCCGCACCCGGCCAAGAGCACGATGATGACGCAGCATCCGTAGCCAGCAGCGCACTCACAGAGGACTGGAAGCGCTCCTTTGACGATGACCTCGCCGAGGCACTCGCCGGCATCCAGACACAGGGCACCTTTGCCTCGTTCCACCCCCTGAGGCGCGTGGACCCGGATCTCTGGGTCCAAGATGTCGGACCCATCGGCTTGCCGCTGCCGGAGCCGGCGGTGCAGCAGCTGATTGAGAAGGCCACCTGTGCTCCGTTTGGTAAGGGAAGTGAGACAATCGTCGACATCGCTGTGCGCAACACATGGGAGCTGGATTCCTCGCATTTCGAGCTCCGGAGTCCGCGCTGGCCGGTGGACCTGCAAAAAATTTGTGCTGTTGTGGCACAGGATTTAGGCGTCAAGTCGCCTGTGACGGCGGAGCTGTATAAGTTATTGATTTACGAAAAGGGGGCCATGTTCAAGGCTCATACCGAGTAAGTCTTCTTGGTGTGTTGTCATTTACGGTGCGTGAAGCTGTATAAGATAAACAGCTGACACTACTCGGGTCATCAGCACCGAGAAATGCCCCGAAATGTTCGGCACGCTCGTCATATGCCTTCCCTGCGGCCACAAGGGGGGCGACATAGTCGTCAAGCACTGCGGTGAGACAAAGACATTCAAGACCTCGGGGGCAGACCAGTCCTTTGCGTGCTGGTACTCGGACGTCCACCACGAGGTTCTGCCCGTCACGGAAGGCTACCGCGTGGTGCTCACGTACAACCTAGCCGTCGATCCGGCGGCGGCGGCGGCCTCGCAGCAGCGGCCCTCTGCGGCGCTGCGGAGGCAAGAGACCCGCGAGCTGCGGCACACGCTCCGGCGATGGCTGGAGCACCCCGAGGACGGCGGCGAGGTCGACCACGTCTACTACGGCCTGGACCACGAGTACACCGAGTCTAGCATCTCGATGAAGGCGCTCAAGGGGCGCGACGCGGCTGTCGTGCAGACGCTGCAGGAGCTTTCGGCCGGGCTCGAGTTTGATGTCCTCCTGGCGCTGACGGAGAAGATGGAGATGGGGCCGACGGCGCACGAGAGCAATGCGCGGTATTCGAAGAAGAAATGGAGTCGGCGTCGGAAGCGGAAGCGGCCGATTGATTCCTTTGGTGATTTTGATGGAATGGATGGATACGATTCGTGTGGTGTGCCGTATGAGGATTATGCATCTAGCTCGGATGGTTTTGAGGAGGATCCTAATGAGGCGAATTTGTCCCATGACATCGAGGATGTGACGGACGAGTCGTTGTCTGTCAAGGTGCTTGTGGACTTGAGCGGGCGCCCGATACTTCGTGATATCGCGTTGGAATGGAAAAATGTTCTCGACGCCAGCGAGTTCTTTGAAGGCGTTGAACGGAAGGAAGAGTATGAGGGGTACCAGGGCAACTGGGTAGGTCTTCGATCCAGAGAAGTGGCGGGCACGTTTGTCATGTTGACAAAGATGAACCACAGGGACCAACAGCTACCCACTGGTACTGCGTAACAGTGAGCTTTCAATTCCCCTTTCCCCTCGCGGCCTTCTCGCTAATATTGGACTCAGGCCGCGCTCATCATTCGCCGGGACAGGATCCCTTCGTTCCTCAAAGCTAGTACGAGGTCGAAGTGGGATCACTACCAGGACAGCGCTGTACTGCTCGATTATCTCACAGATTCGATCCTCAAGGCCGCGTCGAATAGCAAGTCGTCCTTTGAGACACTTAAGGACATATGGGATACGTCGGTTCCTCGTCAAGGCAGGCGTACCAAAAAGGCTGAAGACGAAATCCTGAGCAAAGTGTTAAGGTCTGCTTTGGCTATGAAGGATTGGGACTTTTTTGAGAAAGTAAGCAAGAAAAAGGCCGAAAGGGGGCTGGAAGGGCCACTGCCCGCTGGCTACTATCAATTACTCTACGCAGAGGTCTCGCAGGGCAAAGTGGACTTTTCTCAGATCAAAAACGGGTTCGTTTCCCCCCCCCCCCCCCATTATTCAGCCCATGCTTCCAAGTTCTCATCCTAACCACTTAGTCGATGTTCCAGCTTGACTTCCACAGTGTTCAGGGGTCGGCATTGCTTCGAGATCTTTGAGGCAGTTAAGGCTTTTGCCCCTATCGACCAGCCTCTGTCTGACGAGATTCGGGAGTGGGCACGAGCAACGCTCACCAAAGGTGTCAAGGACATTGCTGATACCGCAATCTTCGTCCGACAAGATGGTCTGGCTTTAGTGACGGGCGCTGAGAAGTATGCTGACTTTGAATGGCTTTCCTCTGTGTAAGTCTCCTCCAAGAAACCCAAATCACCGCCAGACGTACATATGACTGACTATCACTTGTAGGGCGATGCCCTTGATGACGGAGCTACTTGTACGCACGCCAGCTTTCGCACTAGAGTTCCTATCAGAGCTGCTCTCCTGCGCCAGACGGAAGGTTTTCCCGGTGACTCTGGCGGTCAACTTGTACAAGAAGCTCGCCAAAGGCCTCACCTCTATGCTCGACCTCGAAAGGGTCCACGGCCCCAGGGAAGACGACCCAGTCCACAAGGCGGCGAGGTTCACATACGGCCAGACGGCGCCCTCTGCCCCCGACCACCGCCTCGCCTTGAACCACGTCGCCCTGGCAGACCTCTTCTCCGGTCTTATCAAGCTAGCATCCTCCCCTCCGCAAGAGGACCTAGTCCTGCCACTGGCCCTCAAGATTGTCAGCCACGCCCCCAAAATGCACGCCCTCGACTTCCCCGTCCTCTGGATCCCGCTCCTGCGCGAACTCCTCACCATCCTGGAAGCCACCAAGACACCCCTCGACACCCCACGCTACCAACAACTCTTCGCCGCCGTCCTCGAAGCTTACCGCGACAACTACGTCGGCTCGAGATCAGTCCGTCCGCCCGCCGGCCAGCTGGGAAGCGGCATGTACCTCGTGCAGTTCTGCACCTGCGGCGATTGCAGCAAACTGGACAACTTCCTCGCAAACCCGGCGCAGACGTCACTCCGCCTGACCATTGGCGCCAAGAAGCAGCGACACCACGTGCACAGGGTGATCGAGGAGAACGACATCCGTGTTACGCATGAGACTGAGCGATTTGCGCCTGGAGGGCCCACGATGGTGATCAACAAGGTGGGGCAGACGGATGTCGCGAAGCAGCAGGTGAGGGCCAAGGAGGCAGAGGAGGCCTTCCAGGCATTTGATCAGACCAAGTTGGGGGTCTTGCTGGGTGAGGATTATCCTGCTATTGCGACAGCATTATGGCAGCGACCGGTAAATTTGGTGCCCGGGCGGGGTGGTATAACGTATCCGCCGGCACCGATCCCAGTTCCAGCACCAGTTCCAGCTCCGGCTCCGGTTGCGGCTCCGGTTGCAGCTTATGTTCCCGCTCCTGTTCCTGGTCCAGGACCCGCTGCAGCAGGTTATGTACCGCCGGGGCACGCCATTGTGCCGGCATTCGGGCCTGCGTGGGTTCCACCGCCCACGAACAGACATCAGCCGATGACTGGGTCTGCCCGCGGCCCGCCGCCGTCGTTTTTTAATGCGCCAGCAGCCGGACTATCGTCCGTTCCACCGCCCCTAAACGATGCTCAACCGATGAATGGTCCCCAGCCGATTCACGGGTCGGCACGGGTGTCTGCAGGAGTACGAGCAAAACACAGGGCTTTTGCGCCGACAACGGGCAATGCGGGATGGCCGTCGCGATCACCGCCCTCGAGTCTGAACGGTATGGGTGTAGCTGCGGCTCCTGGGCCAAGTCGGCCTCCGCCACCTGTTGCTGGGGCGAAACGGAAAGCAGAGCCAGAGATTATTGATTTGACTTAGGTGGCTAGTCGCTAGAATTGGACCCTGCTCTTTTAGCGTGCCGTTGAGATATCCTTCCAGAAGCTGCAGTACATGCTCTTTGGTAAGCCGTCATGGGCTGAACTAGTCGGTCTTCACGACATCACGAATGAGTTGCGCGTCAAGGCAGCGTGATATGGCGAACATCAAGGAGATTAATCTTCAGTCATCCTAGCTCAGTACTATAAATCACGACTGATTCTTGGGACAGACCTTGTCCACCGCGCTGTTCGCACAAGGAAACGTGTCGGGACAAGTGTTGAAGACGTAGAAACCAGTCCCACAGCAGGTGCTGATGCCACCGCACGAGCCCGCAGGGATGTTACATATGCCAGACTATTGAATCCCCCCACGTTAACATTTGCTTTCTCAGGTTTTTGTTTTGTTCCAGTCGTTGTAAAACTTACCTCTGAAAAGCGGAAGTCGAACTGGGAGTCGCAGCAGAACCTCGTCTTTCCGATGTCCCCACCGTCGCCTGCTGCGTTTTGGCAGTAGCCCATGGATCTAGCTGCGATAGCACCGCTCGCGAAGGATGCAATCGCGAAAACAAGTGTGGAACGCATATTTGGAAGGTTGTATACTGAAAGAATCGTGGGTAGTTGGAGACAAAGTGTGACGAGGAAGACTGCGGAAGGCCACTTCACTTTCCTTGGGACTTGAACTTGATGTTTATATCAAACAGGCAGGCCTTGCCCCCCTGAATCCTTACCAAAATTCAAAATACGAACTCTTACACGGGCATTTAATATGCATTCGAGTCAGGCATAATCGGTAACGGACAGCTCCGTAGTCCGCCTACAGTGAAGACGCTGGAAGATCTGCGTTGACGAGAACAAAGTTTTGGGTCAGTGCTTACTTTGCCAGTCATGCTTCACTCGTTAATATAAATGAAATTAGCATTATGGTCCCAGCCTTCACAATAACTTTCTACTCTTGTCGATCTTGGAGACTTTACTCCTACGGAGTTTTAATCATACGAATACTCCGGGTAAATCTTTCTGAAAACCTCCGTGGTGTGTGCAATGACGTGCTGCTGGTGCATGGGTTTTGGGCAAGTCCAGCCTGCTAGCCTGGTTTTCTTAGATACATATAGTCTATACAAGAACGAAACAACCTTTTGAGTCAACTCCTATATAGCGAAACGGAGACTGAATAGCGAGTGGCTCTTTCCGGCAGAAATGAAGAAACCAGTTATTCATAGTATTCGGTGAGGTTTGGGTCTAAGTAGTGCCACAAAATATGAGGACTAAGGCAATGCGCCTTCTGTAGATGGTTAGCTTCTTGAAGCAATTTTGATTTCGAGTCTCATAATGATTATTCTAGAACTAGTAGTTGGACGTCTAGAGAATAAGGCTCGCTATGACTTATATGATGCCGGTATCGTGTTCCGTGAGACTATGGCCTATTGACCTAATTCCGTTCTCATTAAAGTTGTTGATTATCAAGAAAACGAGATAACAGAACTAGTAAGTAAAGAGACATTGATTTTGTAAATGATGTTATATCTAGGGAGGCAAGGATGACTAGTCAATTGCCTAATGCTATTATGAGTAAGACCGCCCTCTAAGTCCGTGATATCTTACTTACACTCTATGAACTACTATATGCAACTATCCTTACTAGAAATCTCGGGATTCCGCCCGTTCTCCTATAAATACTACCGATCGTAAAAATGGTGGCCAGCAGCAATGGTGACGCGTTCTTCAACATTTTTAGACCGCCTTCGGTATGGTATGTCACAGTTTCATCCTCTAAAGCAGACAGCGAATCAGACATCGTCAATGAGTTCGGCATCGGTCGAATTGTGGGACCAAAGCGGAAACAAGTTGAACTGCTAGCTTTGGCCAGGAGAAAATCGCGATGGCGCTCGCTCGTCGAAAACCTGCAAGTTTCAGCCCACTCTTCCCGCATGTCATCACGCCTGCGCGCTCTCAGAGTTATGCTTATCTGCATCCAATCAAAGCCACGAGATCTCGGTTGAAAGCTTCGTGCCTCAAACTTTGCCAATCGCAACCTGACGCGATAAGCCACATTGCACCGCCAGCTTGAGTCGCCCATCACGGAGCATGTTGGAGGCGTGGGAAAAGACAGGGCAGGCTACCCCTGAAGCCACTTCAAAGCATCAGCCACAGTAAGTTTTCAACTCACCCTCACTTTGTGACTCTTAAACTAACTAAGCTATCATGTAGCAAGTAAGCTCATTCCGCTACACTCTCTAATCCTGCAGTAATTGACATTATGGAGATGCTGTGCCAAGGGGCAGGCAGCTTGTCGAAGACGCAGATGTTTCCAGCTTAGGTTGCGTCGGCAAGCATCAGCGATGTCGCCGCCAGTCAATTGGGACATCTCAGGAACACCAACAGAAAGAGCCATGTTCCATCATGTGCGAAAATGCACAGTTGAGGGCTTCGGGGCTGTCGCGCTCCTGGAGAAGCTATGGAACAGTTACATCATCCCATTGGGATACTATTCCGACTCGGTTAAACATGCCTTGATAGCCTTGGGATGTGCACACCGAGGCTTCATAGGCGACTACAGAGAAGAACATCAGGCTGCGGACGCGCAGACATACGATATGCTAGCATCCCAACAATGCTCCAAAGCCATGAATTTTACGGCTCAGGAAATGGAACGATTTTCGCCTACCACTCTCAGGACATCGCTCGTCTCTTGTTTGGTATTCATCTGCTTTGAAATCATACAGGGACGTTACGACAAAGCTTTGCAACACCTTAGATCCGGCTCTGGCATCATGGTCGCCCTGTCTAAAGCGGCAACGGATGCTCAGGCAGGGTTACCTCTTTCAGTGCACCAAAAATGTCTGGCTGAGACTGTCAAGGACTATTATGATCAGTTATGCGATCTTGCTGACATGTTCACCTGCTTTGGCTGCGATGCTGCCTACTTACTGGAAGAGGGAGAAGTCATTCCGGACCTGTCTTATTTCTTCCGGGGCAATGGCCCCACAGATGTTTCCAAGCCGTACTCCTCCGCCATCGAGGCCCGGTACGATCTTCACCTCGTAGACCATGCTTTTGGGAAGGCTCTACGGTACAATGTTCGAGGCAGCATGCCGATATCTTGGACCTCATTCTTGAATTTGCCCGAGGGCATGTCACCACTTGGAGATGATGACCTGCGGCTCGAGGAATGGCTAAAAGCTCGCCATCTCTTTGATGTCTTCAGTAGCCGGCTTGCAAATTACATTGAGCACCTCCAGTCAAGCTCGTCAACGACCAGACAAGAGTTATGGGAGGCGCGACTAATGGCAGTCATGCAAAAGGACTGGTCGGTGATTATCAAATGTCTGGAGACTCCGAGCTCGCAACCTCTTGATCGGCAATATTTCCAGGATCTTCTGAAAGATGCTGAATCGCTCATATATGCCGAGTCCGAGCCGATGCAGTATCCAGTCTTTACTCTGGCTGCGGATGTGATTCCGCGAATGAGCCTCATTGCTGGGTTCTCTGGTGAGCTGGATCTGCAGAAAAGGGCCATTTCGCTGCTGTATGCCATGCGAAGAAAAGAAGGCATGTGGGATAGTCGGGAGATTGCGAGTGTGCTGGAGTCCATCCTGCTGGCTAGGGAAAGCAGCATCTGGGATATGGAGTATGAAAGGATATCTCTTCCGCGAATAGCAGGGATGCTGTTATCGCTGAAGCTGTATGATGGTAGCAGAACGTTACCTCTGGCTACGCTGGTAGACCAACGTTCTAATTGAGAGACAGTTGCCGTCTTTGTAACGTGGAAGAGCAACGTGAAACTTTCCGTGAGATTTGAAGATAGTAGAGAACGCTCACTACTACAGCATCTTCTTTTTGTCCTGTGTAACCCCTTTTAAGCTTAGATTCAGCTTAGTAGCAGTGATAACGCCAGCCCGGCTTCCCTTGCCTAGTATTCCCACGCGCAGCCACCCTTATCCATCAGTCTCCACCACTTGACCGAGGCCCTAACCTCGCCCTTCTCATCGACGCGTTATACTTATCTTACGAAATACACACAAGATACATTCAATCAGTCCAGTAGTATTTGATAACCATTTATCCCGCAATTTATAAAAGCATAAAAAATCCGTATCAGACCAGGAAACTTAACGTTAATGTACTGACACCACGGCAAGGGGTAATTAGACTGCACACAGAATAGGTAAGTGACGAGGAAGCCTTGAAGGACGAAAAACATATGATTACTGCAGAGCACATTGTTCTATGCTATAGCTCTCTCCACTACATATAGCTGTTACAGTAATGACTCCCAGGCCCTCCCATCCTCTCCTCTCATTCCCACACACCACGAGCATGTTAACCCTACTCCCACCACGCTACGCCCGTCTCCCTGAAAGTGTTGCTTCCGCAATGAATCTCACCAAAGGTGTGGTGATGCGACATGAAATCGTCCACAAACCCAACCTCCATGCCAGCCTTTGCATATGCCTCCCGGATGGCAACCTCAAAGATGTCTCGTCCCTCCACCACGGGACCCCAAGTCTTGGCACTCACATAGTAGTTGTCCAACACGACACCGTTGATAGCCGCCGGGCTGAAGCTCACTAGCAAATACTCGCCTTTCATTACCGTTTCCGTATACGAGGATAGGGAGGACACCTTGGGAGCCTTGGAAAGCGAGGGGATGCGAATCACATGATCTCGAAGGATAGGTATCTCAGCGAGCAGGACTCCCAAATTAGCATCAATATGCCTCTGCGCATAAGCGTTGACCTCGTGAAATGTCTCATTGGCAAGAAGCTCATCGATCGTTATGGCCAGCTCTTCTTTCGTGATAGAAGATGAGCCTTCGACAGCCATTGAAAGAAATCGCCCGCACACCACCATGTCCCGCCGCTGAGGTGTTTCTGAGCAAGTCGAGGGCGGACGTGGTGTCAGCGATAACAATCGTGAAGCCAAGGCCCGTCTCGTTGGAAGGTAGAAACTGGACGAACTCATCAACGTGACCGATGAGTAGCCATCCAGACTCGAGGAAAAGAGGTTTTTGAAGCTCTTGGCCTTCCAAGAAGGCAATCGTTGCTTCCGCTGGCATCTTGTCGTAATGCTTGCCATGAATGATCCGGCCGGCGGGATATTTGACTCCACTCTTAGACGTGTAGGGTGGGATCGTTTCGAGGTTGCCGTATGCATTAATCTCTCGATCGCCATAGCCGCCGCGTCCGCCCTCAGGTTGGAAGCCACCAACACCCTTCCCGCGAAGTTGCTCAAAGATCTGTCGGCCAGCAGTACGGACTGACTGTGCCGACCTCAGCATGATTCTGAGGGAGATAGGTTGGCCGTTGGGTCAAGGGCATGCTAGCGTATGCTGGTTCAACAAAATCCTATGCCCAATTATCATCACTCTGGTTGAACAGATACAGAGGCTCCTGTATTCCTGCTGCCTTCCTTACTTCATCAAGTTGGCCGATGAAACCGAGCTGTACAGGATCGGTCTCATTTGCCGCGGTGCTGACAAAGGCGCTGACACGTTGGAGATGGTGATGGGTAAGAACTGGAGCCACCTTGAGCTCAACGGCGTCGGACATGACAGTACCGTTGGTGTGAACATCAAAATGCACCCTCACTTTGCCATCCCATTTTGCCGAATCCTTCACAAACTCACGCCCGTCACTTCCGAGAGTGATACCGGCTTGGACATGGCTTGCGTTGAAGGTTAACTCAGGATCCACAAAGATCCAAGAAGCACTCTCAGTGGGGTTGGCGGACGAACCGTTCATGTAAAAGAGACGAACCCTTTCAGATGCCGCGTCAGGACTGGCGTAGATGTGGGCAATGGTGTCGTTTGAAACTTCTAATGGGATCGTCTTCAGGGGGGCAACTAGGCTTGGCTCAAGTAGTAGGTGACCAGAAGCATCGTGGCAAGATGCTAGCTCGTGATTACTGAGAGGGTTACCCTGAAGATCCTGATTAGGACAGCGTTGAAGGGAGTCGCCGACGTTTGGTAGAAAGATCGCGCCGCGAGAAGGGGTCCAGAATGCTCTGTCCGTGGCGTCGCCGTCATCCACGATACCGTCGCGGTTGGTATCTGCGAGAATCATGGCCTTAAGCTGCTGGCTACGAACTGCGTTGAATTACAGCGTAACCAAGGCAATGGCCACGGCCTTGGCTGGCATATACATCTCGAAGAAAGTTTGCTGAGGAGAATGTTCAAAGAGCTCATGTAAGAAGTTGCCGCTGGTCATCTCATTCCATACACTGCCTAGTCGGGTTATATGATCACTCTTTATATCAAAAAATAACGCGCTCACGATGAGCGCGACCACTGAAAAGAATTGAATGGTAATTTCAGCCTTTCTCCCTAGAGTTGTCCTTCGATATACCGGCATCCAGTGTAGAGGCCGTAGATAGTAGCGATCACGGTTAAGAAACCCATTTCCACCAATAAACCGCGTCGCTACGCCGTATTAGGAAAAAGCTGTGCATGAGATGCGCTCACGGTATATAAAAAGGCGGTATTGCTATCTTGCGAAGCAACATTGACTAGCATGTGCAACTGAGTCGGGGGCCGTGATCACCGGCTCCCGATCCAAGGCCCAAAGGACCACATACCCTCTCTCCCTATGCTGGCGGAGGTATACGTCATGGCATCCGCTGCCGCCTCGATACTAGCAACATTATGCTTGTTAAAATTTCCGAACGTTCGGCCTTACTCACAACTGCAACTCTTATCTCTCAGATAGTATGTTGCCAAGATCAATTGCCCCATCTTCGGGCCTAACCTTAGAGGAGATGGGCCTCTTCCCTTGCATCACACACCAGCTACAGCGGAACAGTCGGGACTCGAATGAGTATGAAATAAGCGTCAGACGCCGAACTCGGTTTCATCTACTCTGCTATGTATCTCATCTGGCTACTAAATATGTGTTTCTCAAATAAATGTAAGGAAGTAAGGAAGTAACTGCCAATGTTATGGGAAATAGGAAGACCTAGTCAGTATTTGAGAAAACTGAAAGAAAAGGTGGGGATGGGAAAGAAATTATATCAAACCTTAGAGCCTGATGCTCCTTAAATCCATAGACCTAGAGATATATCTACGCCAGAGCCTCAGTGGTACGCTTCTTAATGCCGCGCTTCTTCGAGCGTTCATCCGGACTGAGGCTGAATTAGTAGACCACTATGGAGTACTCCGGACCACACTGAACCCTTCTCCGGTTTAATTTTGTGCGAGTTTTCTGAACCAAGTCTTCTGCGTCAACTAATTTAACTCTCGTAGGCCTGTTGTCTTGGCCAGGAAGGAAGCCTCTGTCCATTGTCAAACGAGCCTGCGACGACTTGACGCTGTTTTCAAGAAGTTCGACATGATAACTATCCGGACGAAACCGAAGCTTACGGGAGCTTCAACTGCCAAGGCCAGAACAGGCTGTTTGACACGGTAGACAGCGCCCCATTCACTGCATATCGTCTCTAGAAGACAACACAACTAATCAGACATACTGATCCATAGAAAGTGATCGGATCTTTCCCGTTGGTCACTTCGTAATTGTGACATCGTGAGTCACAAAGCCGGGATTCGCCACGTCGAGTGTGACAAGACCAAGCTGACTTGCAAGAGATGTGAGCCCAACTATCATCAAATATTTGATGCACATGCCGCGACCAACAAGGAATAGACCAGAACAACAAAGTCGTAGGCAACGACTATATTGCCTTGGAAAATAAGCAAGTTGTCCAAATACAATCACGGAAGACGCGCGCGTCGTTGACGATTGACGAATGAATTGTGAATTTTCATTCCTCAACCCCATGAATTCCTCGGTCCTGATACTCTCTACCTGATAAAATAGCCTCGGTCTTATTACATCACTTTCGAACATCCGCCGTCTCGAATCTTACCTTGACGCCCTACCCACTCGTATCTGGGGCCGACACGTTCGGCGGCTGGCCCCTGAGCAATGTTATCCCAGCTGTCAGATATGCCACCACAGCTATCGGGGTTGCTCATCGAGCTTTCTTACTAGACCCTTCTGATGCTTGATCATATGGCGCAAAGAGATGCCTAGAAACTATTGCTGTTCAGCAGTATCGTTCATTTGCTTTAATAGCGATGATGGGAGATACCGGAAACGTGCGTTGCGTTTGTATTCTCCGCTCAGTACACATGCGGGAGGCAGTTTGGGGCAGTAACAGTATGGCTAGACTAATTGAGCTACAATTTGAGATACCGAACGAGAAGCTTGGAAGTTATAGCATATTCTGATAGTTACCTTTGAACCGGACTGCAATGGAATGGCTGGAGTATTCGCTGCCAAGCCTCCATCCACCTCAAGCGCAGTCAACACATTACGACCGTTTTCCCTCGATATGGCCTTATATATTGTAAATCCGATGTGAAAACCGGTTTCCGTGAGCAAGGTGTTATGTATTCGGCCGAGCCGACCGAGAGACTCAACGTCCGGTAGATAACTTAGCCGCTTTAACTCCTGTCGTAACGAACTGCTCAGTAAGCCGCCTCACATTGTAAGGATGTAGCGAGCATAGCCCTAGAGTTATTAGCCTGTTTGAGAAGAAAAGGACTCTCTTACTGGTCGACGGTACACTACTTGTAATCTGAGACGCCCGATGACTATGTCAATCCAGGCAGTGCTCAAGGGGCTTGTAAACTCTGATTTACGGCGAGTTGATACCGTTTTCGGGTTCTATGCAACTGTTCCCAACCTGAGTCAGGACCCGCGCGCCGTTACAGCTGTGAGGTACCAGAAGTAGCTAGTCTAATGATTAAGCTTAATTTATCGGATGATCTACTACAAAAGTAAGTGTTTGGGCTACAGTCGATTTCCGGCTATAAGCTAAAAACCGTGATTAGTGTCAGCAACTTTATTCGAGTAAGTCGAGTGCCCCTAGCCGATCATGGAAATCGTACAGAAACAAAGTCAACGTCAACCTTGTCAATGACCTGATGAGATCCAAGGACGAAAAGCAGCTTCACCAAATTCATGATCGCCAAGCCATAGCCTCTGTGGGCTGAGCTCGACTATTACGCGTTCGCCAAGTAACCAGCCTTTAGTTCATCATGTCTATTGATAATCATCATCGTCTCGCGAGTATAAGTTCGCTGACATCGGACGAACATCAAGTCATGATACGCCACTAGTACACCTCAACAAGTTGTCTCACATCAATCATTACCTTCATTTCAAGATGCGTCTCTCACTGCCCTTGCTGTGTGCCCTCCTAGCCCACCAAGCCTCCTCAGCAGACATCTCTCTCGGCTTCGACACCCCACAAGTCAACGAGAACCGCACCATTGACGAAATCTACCAAGCCGCCCTAGCGGAAGGCGGCATCGTAACATGCTGGCACGGCGGCGACGAAGTCACCCAGCAAGACGGTCTCAAGCGCGCCTTTGAGACCCGGTTTCCGGACATGACGCTCAACATCACAGTCAACCGCTCCAAGTACCACAGCGTCAACGTCGACAGACAGCTCGCCTCGGGCAGGCCGCTCGAGGTGGACACGATCATTCTCCAGGCCCTACAGGATTACCCCCGCTAGGAACAGCAGGATGCGCTACTGCACTATGCTCCGAATAACTATCTCAAGGTGTTGGCGCCGTTCCGCCACGTACGCGCGGCGTACTACGGCTTTGCGATGAATGCGTGGTCGACTGTCTGGAACACGCAGAAGCTTGCGAACCCGCCGCGGGAGTGGCCGGATTTCTTGAAGCCCGAGTATAAGGGCAAGATTGTCCTGACGCACCCCAGTGACGACGATGCTATCGCGTACATCTTTGACCTCGTGTAAGATACTCCCAGACGTTCCTTTTCTCTGAGATGCCGGAGTACTCACATCGTCTTTCAGAATGCACCAATATGGTCCCGAGTGGTTCGACGGCCTCCTCGCCAACGAGCCTCGCTGGGTCCGCGGTACGGGATCGCCCCTGGCCGTCCTACGCCAGCCCAACAGCACGCAGTCCGTCACCTTCACCGCCAGCATCGGTCTCCGGTCCTCGGGCAGCCTCAACGCCTCTTTTCCGACGGAGGGGCTCTTTGTCAGCTGGCCGCGGTCTGTCGCCATCTTCAAGGACGCGCCGCACCCCGATGCTTCGAAGCTGTTTGCCAACTTCCTCCTCGATGATGGGTTCCAGCGCAATTCTTCGCAGTGGAGTGCTCGGAAGGATATCACGGCGCCTGGTGGCTACCCGGGGATCCTCGACATGGATACAACCAACTCTGCCGAGTATCTCCGATTCATGTCGGATCGCGGTAGGGTGGAGGCTCTTAGGATGATGTTTGAGGATAGGATCGGGATGCCGCAGGGACCTAGTCCTCTCGTTGATGACCTCTGAGCCGCCATATGTTCGAGAGTGTATTTCCTTTCGTCTTGTATCGAATAGACAGAAGTGCAGTTCCTACCGAGAACGCCTACCCACTCTCACTATCATCCAGTCTCACTATCATGGTAGGACTAGAAGTTTGGTTCTGCAAACACCTTAATTATTGAAACCACCGGGCTATATGCACTACAAATGTACAAGAAGGAAAAGTGTCCGCCACATAGTCCTAATATGCACCCGCCCGCTGACTCCAAGCCGGCGCCTCAACGACCTTGACCTCTTCCCGACCAGTCGTCACCACCTCGCCGACATCGAGCCGGAAGTTCTGCACGCGAGCCCCACCATTGTCGAGCGCCCAGACAGCTAGTCCAATGTAGTTGGTCCCCTGGTACCGGAGGATGCCCTCGGGCACGGGGAACCTGGTCTGCGGACCGATATTGCTCACATACCGCCCGTACTGGAATCCATTCACGTACAGAATGACGCGGTACGCGCCCGTTCCGTTGGAGACTGCGATGTCGTCAAAGACGAAGGCGAGGGGCACGTCGAGGTCTGTGGCGGGGATCTGCAGATCCAGTTTCGCGGCGTAAAAGGCCACGCCGGGCGCATCTGTCCCTTCGAATGGCGAGCGTTGCGTATTGAGCGCCGATTCGGGTGGCGATGGGAGGTGGTAGCCCTGGCGCTCGATGAAGAGCCCCCCCTCGTTCAAGGGGCCGCGGGCCCTGTCGGCGTAGTCCTCGCCGCCGAGATTCCCCGTAATCTTCCACGTCGTCACGTTTGTTTGGGCGCCGGAGGGCGACGTGATGCTGTAGTCCATGATCCCACGCGGGTTCTTCATCACGTCCGCTGGGATGACAAAATTCTCCTCGAGGCCGGTGGTGTCGACGAGGACGGTCAGGACATACGTCGCGCCCGCGGTGAGGTTCGCCAGGGTGTAGTTGGAGGTGTTATCGCCCGAGGCGTCGGCACCGTTGGCGAAGGAGCCGAGGAAGGTGTCATTGAGCCAGACGGAGCTCGCGAAGGCGGAGCCGCCCTGAGTTGTGATGTTGAGCTTGTCTTCTGTGCCGTTTGAGGTGAAGTAGCCTCGGAAGACGAGCGTGCCGGTGTGGAAGCCGTAGTCTGAGGCGAAGAGGGAGACGGGGGTCGTTAGGTTGGCGATTGTGTTGTTTGTGGTTTTGTGGTCTGCGAGAGGCCACGCGGAGTCGTCGTAGCCGGCGCGAGTCTCGGGGAGAGAGTCGATGAAAGTCCAGTTGAGTGACTTGAGGTCCGGTACGGTGGGCGCGGCACCCGCAAGGGACGGGTTCGCGATCCAGTTGGTTAGGTTGTTCGTTGTATGGTCCAGTTGTTTGCCGTTGACTTCAAGTTTTGTGATTTCCGGCTCGACGCCAATGATCTCTATCTCAGTGGTACGGTTGAAGTCTGCCTGGACTCTGAGAGTGCCATCCTGTATCGAGATCGATCTTACCAAGTACCCGCCATTGACAATGAGCGAGTCTGGATTCATAATGGACGTGCCGTATGCCCCTTGGCTGGAGCTGGGCTTGTCTGGTACCCAGTAGTTGTATGCCGAGTTGCGGTCTTCTTTATGTTAGTCGCAATGCGGTACAGAGTAGCTGGTGTACTTACCTAAAATGTATATCACCAGGTTGTCAACCTTCACCACACGCCGAGTGCTGGATGTCTCCCATGCCAAGAGCAGGGTGTTGTTCACATAGTTGTGATCAACGCTGGTGCCCTCAACGAGGAAAGGCGTCGCGGTCGATTTGATCGCAATCTCATGCGTCTCGCCAGGTCCACTGTAAACAACAAGAACCGTCTGGTTCTTATACTGTTTCCAGGTAAAGATCTCCGCTGTCGAATATAATAGAGTCGTATTCCCAACAGGATAATCCGTGACAACAATCTTTGAATCACGGCGGGTAAGCTGTAGCAGATCGCGCGACTGCGGGATCGTAATGGTTCCTTGCGACGTGGGTAGACGAAGCGTGTAATCGGTCGTGGCAAGACTGTTGTAGGCGCTGTGCCGGACAACGAAGAACGAGCCGTTTCCGTTCCCTAGCAAAGGCGTGACTGTGATGTCTGGAGTTGCGCTGTATACTCCGACGGTCAAATTTCCGGGCGTTGCAGTCAGATACGCAGGCGAAACTTTCAAAAATTGCGCCTCGAGCTTCAGTTCAGAGTACTTTTCCCTTGAGACACTCCTCTCTTCAGTGATTGCCTTGGATAGCGTCAGTAAGTATAATAGAGGCGGATCTATCAACCTTTTACTCACGGAGCCGTAATCGTACGACGTATATCCTCCCGGGTGCCCCAGATTACCCCAATTGGTGCCTCCGAATATCTAGATTTACGTCAGTCACGTTGTCTCATCCCCACTCCCTCGCAGCAACTTACCATGTAAATATTAAATATAGTGACACCAGCTCCAAAGTTGTTCTTGTAAAATACGCGCTCAAACTCGTGATTAACCAATGCTGCACACTTTTCGAATCCAGGTCCAGCGTAGGGGTCAAAGGAACCTCCTTGGAACTGCAACGAGTGAGCTCATGTCTCTCTAATGATCCTTGCAGGCCTACCTCTGGAATCGTGAATGGCGTGCTTGGACTAAGTTGCAAGTGAAGTGCATGGTAGGTGGTTGGTAGAGCGTTATCCGGCCACGTATTCGGGTTTGCCTATACCTCGGCGGTCAGTTCCATTTGCTAGACCTTTCAGGATGGGTTTCAGGATACTACGTACACAGTTAAATCCAAGCGGGTACGCATCAAAGCCCTTTAGAACGTATTAGTCTTAAGTCTCTGCGACAGCTTCAGAGTGACTTACATAAATGTCAACGGCGCCTACACCCGTTCCTGGCGCATTGTTGCCCGCTGGTTTGGCGTCGTTGCTGATGAGGGGAACGACAACCCCAGCTTTGCGAGCCTGGTCGATGACATACTGGAAGTACGGCCCGTCGGCGCTGCTGCCATCTTCAAAGTTGGTGTACTCGTTTTCTGGCTGGAAGAGTATGACCGGGCCACCGTTGGTGATTTGGGCCTTAGCGATGATGCCGCAGATATTTGCCATGTAGCTGATTACCATCATCAGTCACTGATTTCACTAACGAACTCCTCCAAATAAAAAAAGGCCTTACTTGTCCGTTGCAGAAAGAAACTCGGGGTCCGAAGTCCTCAGTTTCGCCTTCAACCTCGCCAACCAACCCGGAAACCCACCCCCAGAGGCCTCTGCATTGATATACGGACCGGGCCGCGCAATAAGGTAGATGCCCGCCTTGGTCGCGGCATCGAAGAAGGGCTGGAGATCAAACACGCCCTCGGCGGTGAAATCACCGGCCTTGCCCTCGAGCAGAGCCCAGTCGACGTAGAATGAGACCGTGTTGAGGCCCAGGGCTTTCACCTTTTGGAAGACGTCGAGGTACAGCGACGGGACGGGCAGGCGGAAGGGGTGGATCTCGCCCGAGAAGATCATGACCCGCTCGCCGCGGACGAAGAGCGAGTGCTCGTCCCATGTCACAATGTCCTGGAGCTGGTCTCTCTTCTCGTCCAGGACTTTGACTGCGGGCGCGGGAGCGAGAGACGAACGAACTCCGGCGGCGGAGCATAGCCTGAGGCCTAGCAAGGCGAGGGAGAATAGAGACGGCCTCATGTTGACAGGTTACCCGGGTGGCGGCTGTCAAATGGGACAGAGGAGGGTGAAAGGATGAGACTAAGAGACCGACCGGGTGCCGTCCGTACATGATATAATTGTCAAAGTTTACAGCCTCGGACTTTTACAGCTGCGCGCACCCTGAGAGTCATCCGGAGACCGATATCCTTCTAGGTGCTCTAGCGCCGTTCGAACGGCGCAGATGATGCGATAGGTAGTCAATGGTTGAGGTGTGCGTAGTATTGCTCATCGTTCGTCTCTTTCCCCTCCCCTCCATTGCCGGGAAGATGCAGTAGCGGCACTAGAAGCATGATTTGGGCATGTCCGGAAGAACAGGTGTGATTAGCTTCGCATACGAAACGATCGTCCGATGCCCGGTTCTTGAGAAAAGCTTGGTCCACGATATGCAAAGCCATTTTCTGCAGCCTCGAAGTACGACTGATCCTGAAAAGAGGTTGGCTGGGGATTAAGCTTCGCCGGCCTAGCCCGCGCGAGCCGTGCGGGGGACGTGGTGGTGATCGTTGGAGCATGTGGAGGAAGCGGTTCTAATAACCCCTCCTTTGACGTCCTTGACTGCTTTACCAGGAACAATCTCGGCCGAATGTATGCGAAGGCTGATGCGACGGTGAAATGCGATCAAAAAAAGCGTACGAGGCCATGATCCAGTGTTGATCGTCCGGTACCTACCTCGAGAACAATTAACGCGATGCCCGTATATTGTCCGCAGAGCCGGAGTTACGATATATCAAGTGCCGAGGGCCGGAATTCCTTTGATTGTGACTGTCTGGTCGCATTCAAGCTCGTATCCGTCGCCTGTTGGTGATGATCCGGCTGGCGCAATGTAACCTTGCTGCTCATCACGGCCAGTTGGAGCGGGCAAGCGATTGACTAAAAGAAATTCAATGAAGCTCATATGACGCCATGTCAAACGAAAGTCCAATCCGACTCCTCATCGGCGCTGGGGTTCGAATCGACCGTCTGCTCCTCGAAGAAGCCGACTGCTCGCCCGTCCTTCTTCCAGACCTTGCCGTCCTTCATGACAAAGCCAACCTTCCTCAAAGCCCCCTCGTCTTCTCTCGGATCCGTGTCCAAGGCAATGATATCGGCTCGGTATCCCTTCTCGATGGAACCAAAGTAGAAACCGCTCTTCTCCTTACCGCAGCTTTCCCAGCCTCCCATCACGCACGCTTCCAGCACATCCACGACAGGAACCCCGGCCTGGATCATGAGTTCCATTTCAAAAGCACCTTCCCCGTGGGGGAACGTTCCGGTATCACCTCCAGCAGCAAGACGCACGCCGAGGTCGTATGCCCGCTTGGTCTGCTTCGCGATGCTGCTGAAATCAGGCGAGGTCTTCATAATCCCGAGCGTCGGGACAAATATGGTACCGCGGCGCGCCATTTCTCGAAAGACCTCATCGGTGGCTTCTTGGCAGTGCTCAACAGTGTCGACACCAGCCTTGATAGCCATGAGTGCGCCCTTGGCTGACCCTGCGTGACACGCCACGGGTAGCCCGCCTAGCTTGGCTTCCTTGACGATTGCGTCCATTTCCTCTTGGTTGAACATGACCACAGTCGGGTTGGGCTCCGAAGGAAGAAACGGGACCGGTTCCTTTGAATTCGGGAATCGCATCACCTTGCGCCGATAGTCCGCGTAGAACTTGATGATGTCCGCCCCGTCGGCCGCACGGCGCCGGACAGCCTGTGTCACACCCACCGGACCGTCGCAGGGGTCCGAAATGCGCGGTAGTTTGGCCCACGAGTTCTCGTGACGGACCTCGTACGAGCCAGTGCTGGCGAGACACTCGGTGGCCACGAAGAGTCGCGGGCCGGGTATGAGGCCTCGGTTGACACAGTCTCTCAGGTTTGCGTCGTATGAGCGCAGCCCTTCGGTGCCCAGATCTCTGTAGGTGGTGTAACCGGACAGAAGGGCAAGACGGAGATGATTTGTAGCACGAACGATTCTCTCGACAACACTTTCGTCCCGCATTTGGACCGTCGATGAAGCCTCACTAGTCGCTGTTAGATGAACCAAGGACCTAGTGTCGCGATGAGGAGGCTCACTCGTATGGATGAAGAAACACATGTGTATGCGCGTCAACGAATCCTGGCATCACAACCTTCCCTCGCAGATCTAGATCATGACTTCTCAACTCGACATTGGTGGTTCGTTGTCGTTCATACACATCTGCAATGGCGCCACTCGCTGGATCGATGACAATCGAGATATCCGTGTCAAAAGTCTTATTTCTTGGATTGAATAGCAGTGACGTATGTATTGTAAATTTCCCATCGCGCAGTCTACTACCCATTTTTGCGGTGTTGCGAGGTTTTGTGACAGCACAAGCGTGTTCTGGCTCAGGTAAAGTTATCAGGTTGCGAGACTCGTGATATAATATAGCAAAGTCAATAGAGAGTGCTATCGTAGACTGCAGAATGAAACACCTAGTTGATTACCGTCTGATGATGTATTCACCTGCGGGCAAGATCCTAAGCTAGCTGTCATAGGCAGCTCGGTTATCATAAACTCCCGTTTGAAACGTGCGAAAGTCCAAGGAGAGACACGAAAAGGAACTTTGGTAAATAAAACAATCTACTCTCCAGGTATTCACCGCTGTATGGTCGGTCAATCGTATCACGGTATCGAGAGGCGATGCGCACCTGCAGCGTATGACTAAGGGTTCAATGCGTGGTTTGACACCCGCGGGCTGTAGGATGGAATGCAATGCTTCACATCATCGTTGCACTATGCGGGTGTCCGTGATTAACCAAGTCCTCCGGCGCCGAGATCCGCGGAAGGAATACCTGGGCCCGAACTGAAGCTTGCTGCGGACGGATTATCGTTCTACCATCGGTTGCCTCTTGCGCTCTGTATCCATACGCATAGGTCTCCAGTCTCCTCGGTGGGCGGAGTAGGGACACTGTGCCGGGATGTGGGAACAAGGGGAACCCATGAGGAGGGCGCTAGGAAACAGAGCTTCGAATAAAGGGTACCCTGAACTGTAAAAGCTAGGCGAAACGCACTCGTTGGGTTCTCAGTTTCCTTCAAACAGCTGCTAGCTGAGTGGTTCATCTGGAGGTTGACCATTGGGTGGTCGAAATGACGCATAGGGGGCATCAGTTGCATGCCAACAAAATGTTTGAACAGAGCTGTCGCTGGCAGTTCAAGGTGCATCGGGCGCAGTCTGAACGGTATTCTCAACATCGTCATCCTGCAGGCTGTACTGTTACAGTAGCACTGTTATTGTTGTTGTAGGGGCCCTCGGTGAAGTGCGAAGACCCTCGAGCGCGGAAGTGACGTCGGCCGCCGCGGAAGGCAAATCTTATGGTCCAGTGAGGCGATGCCCGTCGTCCGAGAAATTCTTGACTCCTTCCCCAAAACCCCTCACATATCCTAGGGTTGTTGTCGACGTCCATATTGGCATACTGCCACACTGCGTACATACAGTAGGGCAAGCGTGGTGCGACGACGAATGCCGAGTTCTGGAAAAAGTTGTGGAATCCGGATTCTTGGACGGGGCCGGGAAGAATGACGAATGCTGGGAGGGGCCCGGGGGACGGTGGAGACGTGCTTGGAAGACCCTGAAGGAGAATTGGCTGGGTTTGGCACGCCAGGCTGGCAGAAGCGGAGGCGGTTGGAGCAAAGGGCGACGGGTCGATGCTGAAAATAGAGACAAGATCGGCCATGAGCAGGCATGTTGCATTGCCGTGGACGGGGACAACCAGTGGCTTCATTGCTTCAATATTGCCCTGGTGTTTTTTTTGGCCATCGTTCCGTTGGTGCCGGCTGGCAATACATGTGTGTGTTTGTATGCTTTACTTTTCATGATGCTTGGTTTTAAGCATCTATTATGAAGGGCTTGACCCAATGGCGCATGCCACAGTATTGTCGCTCCTTTCCATCCTGGATTAGACAGACCAGCACAAAGCCTGATTTCTATCCCATCGTCATCGTCGTGGTTGTCTGCGACTGCAACGGCAAATCCTGGTGTCCTGCATTATGTCAGTGGTGTAGTCATTGGTTCTTCGTTGTCGACAGAATTAATCGTTGAACAATAGACAGACAGACAGACAGACCATGGTTATTTTTGGGATGTTCATTGTCTGCTGATGAAAGAAAAAGCGCGCCATGCAAAATCGGATTGCTGCATTCGAGCGTTTGGGGCTTGCGGCTTGCAGAGAAAAGCTCCTGATGGCAAACACCTCAAGTCGGCGCCAACCGCTACGAGGAATGCGGCAGAGTCAGCGGTTGCAGCGGGCTGGACCAGGCTCTCAAAGTCTGGAGCCATCTGACGGGCTAGAAGGGGCCGTTCAAGCCGTTTCCCATGGGTACCAACCATTCGGCCGCTAAAGACTGCTGACAGCAGGGCTGCTTCCTTGGGGTGTTCCAACAACTCCCACTGACCTCAGAGGCTCGGCGGTATTCTCGGTTGCGTCGTCGACTGTTGGAGGCGGCGAACAGACGATTTGACTGAGCGTTTGAGCAAAGGGTCGGGAGCAGCGAGCTGGAGGCTGAGCCATGTAAATTTCGAGAGGTGAGGCCGCGAGGGTGAGGGAAACACCAGGAGGGCAACGAAGGGTCTGGGGGTGAAGCCATCTCTGATTCGCCGAGAGACGAAGTAGGTAGGTAGACGACGGGAGAGAAGCGTACCGTACTGTGTACGTATCTTTTAGCATTGATCGTCGTGTGCCACAGTGCCCCGCGTCGGGCCCAGGGTTCAACCGGTCTGACCAATGAAAAGTTCTCATCGCGCGAGAAGCGGACAAATCTGAGATGGGTAACCTGATGTCTTAGGCCGTCAGACCGCCACCACGTCGTCCCTTGCACCAAAATCTGGCAAGCATCCACAGCCACTCCCCCGGTCGCTACCGGCTGGCCCTCCCACCTCTACACTACTGCGTAGGTTGAGTCTCCCTGCGCAACGTTGCTGGGCGGTTTTCTGTTTGGAGACTTGAGGTTCCCTTTTCTGACGCTCGTTGGCCCAGGAAGAAGCCAAGAACAGCCACCACACGGGTCGCAGACAGTGCGACGGAGGAAAGAAGAAGTGGCCCGGCCCTGCATCCCTGGTACCTGCCTAGACCCGTGGACCTGCCCTCAGCGCTTTACTGCGTGCACAGTAACCCACCAGTGACCGCCCACTTGGCAACCGCACCTGCCTTTTCACACTGACCACCCTCTTACGCCGCTCCAGCTCGAATACGAGTCTTGTTTTTCTGACCTTCCCGCTCGTTCCACTCCAATGACCACCCCCCTCAAAACCTATCCCAACTCATCCCTCACTTCATAAAAACCATTCACTCGCTTTTCCCTATCGTCAGTTTTAGTTCCTTCCTCTCGTTTTCCTCCGAGTGATTTCCGCATCACATTCAACAAAAATTCGCCTTTTACCTTTTCAACCTACCGGTCGCTTCCGCCTTCCTACCTAGGTTCACCCGTGCCGCCCTCCTATTTCGTACCCACCCGGCACATAAGAACTTTCCGAGAATTCCAGACGAACCGACTCGACTCATCTCAGGACCCTGTGTCTTTGACACCACCACCAAAAGAATTTGGTTGTCGGCACACAAACGAACAATTCTTGAACCTATCTGACCGACCGAGAAAATAATTTCTACAGTCGGCTGACTTGATATACCGATCATCGAAGCACCGCCAGCATATTGGGAAACTCGTCATTCACCACAGTCATAATGCATCCCCAACGCGCCATTCAGGTCCTCGCCCTCGCCTCAGTCGCTCAAGCGTCATGGTTCAACTTCAACAAAGCTGAGCCCCGCGATGGCCTTCTTAAGAGACAATCAGGAACCGCCAGCGGTGCCGAAACCACGTCGACTGCTGCCGCTCAAACCACCACATCTGCTGCTGCTGTCACTACAACCACGACAGCTGCTCCCGTCACCAGCACCACCGTCGCCATCATTACTACCACATCTCCCGCCGCCGACCCTACCACATCCGCCAATGCGCCTGCATCAACCACAACACCGGGAGCCACGGCTGCCCCTACGACCCTGAAGACCAGCACCACGTCTGCCGGCAGCAACAATGACGAGACCACCAGCGCAAGTGCCGCTTCTTCTACCCACTCCACTACCGCCGAGCCCGTCACCTCCACCATCAAGACCATCATCACCACCACCAACTCCGCTGGTGTCGCAACTTCCTTCACCTCCGAGGCCACCGTCACGAGCACGCCCGGTCTCAACGAGGCAAACTCTGGAGACTCGTCCTCTGGCATGTCGTCCGAGACGCGCAAGACTGTCATTGGTGTCGTTGTTGGTGTCGGCGGTGCCATTGTCCTCGGTGCCCTGGGCTTCGTCGCCTGGAGAATTTGGGGCAAGAAGAAGCAGGCCGAGGAGAACGATGGCCTCATGGAGTACAACAACCAGTACGGCAATGAGCCCAAGAATGAGATCGGTAGCGCCCAGGGATCTGGTTCCGGCCGTACTCCCTTCCAGTCGACTCTCGAAAGCTACCACGCGCCCAACCAACAAGTCAATGCATCGTCCAACTTTTAAAGATGTTTGCTGTTGTTGCGACTTCCATTGATTGTTTCTTGCGGCAGAAAGCGTTGATTCCCTAGTCCTTTCCACACGGATACCACACTCCTTGATTTCTCTTTTTACTCATTTGTTGCGGCTGGCCTTCCCACCAGTCATGTGGAGTTTAGGGCCGCCAGATCATTATGGCAGGCATGGTTGCATATCGCAAGGTCTCCGGACTAATGGATAGAATTATGTACATAGAGGGCAGAAAACTACTCTTCTTTGTCGGCTGGGCTTAGGATGATCACTTCACTGGACTAGCGTGGGCTTCAAACGAGTCGCGCATCAGGACAGGGCATCGATACCAGCAAAGACAACACGGCAGAGACCGCAATAAGCAAGTCTGATGGGCAGCCTTCTAGGCCCGTAGGCTTGTACGTACGTTAAGATACAACTTTAATATCAGGACCACCAACTTCTAAACAGTTCAAACAATAAAAGGCA